CGTACCGCCAAGTGTCCAAGCATCCGAAAACTTTAGGGTTTAACTGGATGGCATGGAGAACCACATGTTACAAATCAGCGCATCTGTCATGGAACGCACAAATTCGACAATACAATGCGTTAATTTTCCACAGTCCAACAAGTCTAATAAGTCTGAATTATGGTTTATACAACTGGAAAGTTCAACTGGAAGTATCAGGCACTGAAAAGTTTGTTTCTAACCCAGTTTGTCGAATTTCCGGAAGGTTAAATTCAGCGTCTTCTCTATGGTATTGACACAACAGGTTTGAAACCAACGAAGATAATGACCCCCATAAGACGACTTGCACCAGGTACTCGACAGCTAAATGACCACCAGCACAACGTCAACCTTCACACCCAATTCTTAAACCGATCTGTGGTTACACATACTCGAACAAAAATCAAAGATTGTTCTCTTGGTGAGCAATTGATCACCCATTATCGGAGCCGACTTTCTCCTATTCGTGATAGGAAATGCATTAGGTTCGGGCTGGACGGCCGCTAGGCATTGCTTCGAGCACCGCAATGTGGTCGTATCGAGTACGCCATCAGCTGACTCGTAACGGGAGCGCTCTCTCATGTGCGGTCCTTCAGCGGAGCTATCCCCGCAATGACAAGGATGTTCAAAAACCTTCCTGAAGCCGGTCGCTACTCTTACAGCTCCCAGCCTTTTCCGTCATCCATACTTCTTCTGTAGCTAGGCGTATTTATCGCCTCTGTCCAGAGCCACAGATGGGTGCGGCGTACAAAATTTGCACTGAGGGAACGCTCACGAGGAGCCTTCTTCTGTTCTGCCTCGACCCTCTAGAGTTCAGGAGAATTTTAGCGACGCCCCTGGTAGTGGCTCATACTCTGGACTACGGGAACGGTTGCTTAGCTGCAAGTGCACGAGCTGCCTCGTGGGCTCGGTTCCCTCGGTCGCCTTTGCTGACTCCCTATTGAGCACAGTATCGTCTCAAAAAAGCTGGCCGTAAAGCTGCTGAACAAGCGGGAGATTTGCAAACGTGAGGTCAATGATTGATCCTGTCCCACTTCTGCTGACGGTGGGACCGCTCCACTCGTTCAGTTGCAAGAGAGCTAGTGGACCAAAAATTTCTCTCATGACTCCTCCTCTTGTATTTGTTTTTGGGTTCTATGCTATCTCTATGCAATGCTATCTGCTTGGCATCTGGCGCACACTGGCTGATAGCGTTCGCGCATGCTCCCCCGGAACACTCCCAACAAGGAGTGAATGTCCTTCATACAGGTTATAAGGCTTCTTGTTTTGTTCTGTCACTCACAATAGCAGGTAGTTCACTATCGTGCCCAGCTGCTGGTCCCTTTTCCGGGCTGACCATCTCCCGAGGCCTCTTTGGCGTGTTCTTTGTACCAATTCTGGGCAGCCTGTGTCGGCTGAGCTGTCATCAAAATATCTGTCGGCCATCCAAAAAAAGCTGGACTAGCCCACCGCACATGGTTCCAAAACGCAATGGTAGATGCCGAGCTTTTGGTGATTCGAGCTCTCCAAACCAATACCAGACCGATATCCAGTGCCTCACGTGCAGGAATTCTTCGAGAAGTTGCACGGTAAATATTCACCACGCTCGATCTTGTATGCACATACCACTAGATGGCCGACGAGGTCATACAAAAAACTGCTGAATGCAAATCGTTTGGGCTTTGTGTTGTTTCTTGTGGTTTCTGTACATAGGACAGTAGGTCTTAAGAATGCAACCCAAATATTCCAGCGCCTTCATGCAACTTAAGTTTAAGAAATTTTTCGCGCAACAACGAATGAAGGATAGTCCAGTGGTAGTGCTTGACTGATGTGCAGAGTAAAAAAAGTTCAAATCAGGCTCGGGACATCCACTTTTTTTTATTTAAGATGAACTTATATTATGTCATATTTTTATTGTTTTCCAAAAATTTATAATCCAATCCTAAAAAATACTAAAATTTTAAAATCACCCTAACATCGCCCCTGTTCGTAGTGAAACCCGCTTTTAAAATCTCTATAAGTGCGGGATCTACGGCATATTGGTAGGACGCGTCGTGGAACCCGCTGTAAAAATGAAAACATTTGAGTGCGGGTTCCACGACGAACGGGTGGCAGATGAAAGAGGGAAAGAGAGAATTCTATTTTTAGAATGTAACATCTGTGGAACGATGAAAGTTAAAAACGTTCACATCCAACCAGTGTGAGAGCAAAGAGTTCTTTCAATCAGCTCTGGTTTTGCTATGGATGCTAGCTTTTACATCAATACTTCAATTGGAGGGTAGCCTAGATGAAAAGCGTGCGCTCCTTACCCTGGTTGTTTCAAAATTTTATCAAATTTGTAAAAAGTGAATTATGGTTTTACGATTATTTATATAATATTTACATTTTCTTTTACTTTTTATATTTATTTTATTATTATTATATTTAATTTCATTCTATTACTATTGTTGTAAAAATAATTATGTTTTTATTAATTTTATTATGAGAAATTATGGGAGTATGGGGAAAATAGTGTCGGATTACAATATGGCGGACGGACTGCCTTGGAATTTTATTTACCGGTCATAATTATACCCTTGCAGAGGGTATTATAATTTTGTCCAAAAGTGTGCAACGCAGTGAAGGAGACATCTCCGACCCTATAAAGTATATATATTCTTGATCAGGATCACCTCCTGAGTTGATATGAGCATGTCCGTCTGTCCGTCTGTCTGTCTGTCTGTTTCTACGCGAACTAGTCTCTCAGTTTAAAATCTATCGACTTGAAACTTTGCACACACCCTTCTTTCCTTTGCACGCAGTATATAAGTCGGAACGGCCGGGATCGGCCGACTATATCCTATAGCTGCCATATAACTGAAGGATCGAAACCCAACTTTTGTGAAACCCAACCCAACGAAACCCAAGAAAGTTTTGCTTTCTTGTTTTTAATTTTTTTTCTTGACAACTACAATAAAAGATAGAGCTTAAATTTAAAAAAAAAACAAGAAAGGAAAGCTAACTTCGGTCGGAGCCGAAGTTGATATACCCTTGCAGTTAAAACCGAATATATCGCAAACATCGGATATAGTTGGCGGATCCTAATGAAATTTGGTAGGTTAGATGAACTGACCAAAACTAGAATCTGTACCAAGTTCCAGCTTTCTATCTTCAAAACCACAAAAGTTGGGTTTCGATCCTTCAGTTATATGGCAGCTATAGGATATAGTCGGATGATCCTTATGAAATTTGGTAGGTTGGATCAACTGACCAAAAATAGAATCTGTAATAAATTCCAGCTTTCTATTTTTAAAAACACGAAAGTTGGGTCATTTCCGATCGTTCAGTTATATGGCAGCTATAGGATATAGTCGGCTGATCCTTATAAAATTTGGCACGTCGTAATGTTTTGCCAAAGATAGCTTTCATGTCAAATTTGAACTCTCCAACTTTAAAAACACCAAAGTTATACCATTTCCGATCAATCAGTTATATGGCAGCTATAGGATATAGTTGGCCGATTCTAATGAAATTTGGTAGGTTGGATTAACTGTCCACTCATGTAAAATGTGAACTCTCTTACTTTTAAAACACCAAAGTTATACCATTTCCGATCAATCAGTTATATGGCAGCTATAGGATATAGTCGACCGATCCCGGTCGTTCCAACTTATATACTGCGTGCAAAGGAAAGAAGGGTGTGTGCAAAGTTTCAAGTCGATAGATTTAAAACTGAGAAACTAGGTCGCGCAGAAACAGACAGACAGACAGACGGACAGACGGACATGCTCATATCAACTCAGGAGGTGATCCTGATCAAGAATATATATACTTTATAGGGTCGGAGATGTCTCCTTCACTGCGTTGCACACTTTTGGACAAAATTATAATACCCTCTGCAAGGGTATAAAAAGAAAAAGAAAAACATCGAAGTCATAAAAGGATTCGAGCCTACGAAAACCACTTCGTACCAAAACAACTCAACGATCCAACTCGTTTTAAGATTGATAAGTTATATGACTGCTATAGAATATAGTCGTATGCATCGGCGTATGCATATAGTCGTATGCAAAGTTTAAGTCGATAGCTTTAAAACTGAGAGACTATTTCGCGTAGAAACAGACAGACGGACGGACGGACGGTCAGACGGACAGACGGACATGATCATATCAACTCAGGAGGTGATCCTGATCAATAATATATATACTATATAGGGTCGGAGATGTCTCCTTCACTGCTATACTATAGGATATAGTTGGCCGATTCTAATGAAATTTGGTAGGTTGGATTAACTGTCCACTCATGTAAAATGTGAACTCTCTTACTTTTAAAACACCAAAGTTATACCATTTCCGATCAATCAGTTATATGGCAGCTATAGGATATAGTCGACCGATCCCGGTCGTTCCAACTTATATACTGCGTGCAAAGGAAAGAAGGGTGTGTGCAAAGTTTCAAGTCGATAGATTTAAAACTGAGAAACTAGGTCGCGCAGAAACAGACAGACAGACAGACGGACAGACGGACATGCTCATATCAACTCAGGAGGTGATCCTGATCAAGAATATATATACTTTATAGGGTCGGAGATGTCTCCTTCACTGCGTTGCACACTTTTGGACAAAATTATAATACCCTCTGCAAGGGTATAAAAAGAAAAAGAAAAACATCGAAGTCATAAAAGGATTCGAGCCTACGAAAACCACTTCGTACCAAAACAACTCAACGATCCAACTCGTTTTAAGATTGATAAGTTATATGACTGCTATAGAATATAGTCGTATGCATCGGCGTATGCATATAGTCGTATGCAAAGTTTAAGTCGATAGCTTTAAAACTGAGAGACTATTTCGCGTAGAAACAGACAGACGGACAGACAGACAGCCGGACAGACGGACATGCTCATATCAATTCAGGAGGTGATCCAGATCAAGAATTTATATACTTTATAGGGTCGAAGATGTCTCCTTTTTAAAATTCACAATGGGTATTATTGAATGTTTTTCATATTGGGATGTACATACTGTGGCATCCTTCGTAGTGCTATCACTCAAATTTCCAGCAGAAGAAATATTTTGTTGTTTTAAGGGATGCGCCGACGAGCCCCTTAAAAAAAAGCTTTTATAAAATTTTTTATTAAATAGTCAACTACATACCCAATTAAAGGTGTTCTGAGGTTTAAAAAACCATTTAACTTTTTGTTTATGTTGTTTTGTAGCGGATTTGTAGTAGCAGGAGTCACCGGAGTTTGTGGTTTATTTGGTGGATTACCGGAGTCAACAATATCCTGTGCAGCTCTGAAAATTTTAAAAATATAGCCAAATGAAAAAATTAATATAATAATTTAATTTAATGAATGATGTGAAATAGTGTTGCTTTATTTTGCAAATAGTGTTTGCGAAATAGTTTGCTTTACGTTTGTCGTTTGGTCGCAACATGTCAACACGCCAACTTTGAAAATTAAACTGTGTAATATTGACGTTTGAAGTTTTTTCTAATAGGTATCTTCATGTAAAACACGCTCACAACATTTTTGTTTGAAGAAATCGATCCCTTTTTTATACCCTTGCAAAGGGTATTATAATTTTGTCCAAAAGTGTGCAACGCAGTGAAGGAGACATCTCCGACCCTATATAGTATATATATTATTGATCAGGATCACCTCCTGAGTTGATATGATCATGTCCGTCTGTCCGTCTGACCGTCCGTCCGTCTGTCTGTCTGTTTCTACGCGAACTAGTCTCTCAGCTTTAAATCTATCGACTTGAAACTTTGCACACACCCTTCTTTCCTTTGCACGCAGTATATAAGTCGGAACGGCCGGGATCGACCGACTATATCCTATAGCTGCCATATAACTGATTGATCGGAAATGGTATAACTTTGGTGTTTTAAAAGTAAGAGAGTTCACATTTTACATGAGTGGACAGTTAATCCAACCTACCAAATTTCATTAGAATCGGCCAACTATATCCTATAGCTGCCATATAACTGAACGATCGGAAATGGTACTTGGTAGAAATATAAACTTTCGTATTTTTGAAACTTTTTTTTAGATTTTTTATTGAAATTAATTGGCTTTATTATGATGTAATCATAAGGATCGGCCAACTATATCCGATGTTTGCGATATATATCCGGTTTTAACTGCAAGGGTATATCAACTTCGGCTCCGCCCGAAGTTAGCTTTGCTTTCTTGTTTTTAAACTATAATCAAAATTCGCTCCCTCAATAAATTTATTACTGTAGATGGCACTCCACGGGTGACGAACCGCCAGCCTAAGCGTCCGCGTAAAGACACTATATATAGCCGAAGACTTTAAAATTTATACTGGGATATAATCCCAGTGCCCAATTGATATTTTTCTTAAGATATATAGCAAATAAGTGTTAATAAAAAAAAAAAAAAAACAAGAAAGGAAAGCTAACTTTGGGCGGAACCGAAGTTGTTATACCCTTGCAGTTAAAACCGAAGCTTTAACCGATTAAGCCAACCGATAGTTTGCCGGTCGTTATCTTTAAATTTGGTAGGTCGGATCAACTGACCAAAAATAGAAGTTCCAATTTTCTATTCTCAAAAACGTGGCGTGGAAAAAAGTGGCGTCATTTCCGATCGTTCAGTTATAGGGCAGCTTTAGGATATAGGTAGTCCGCCGATCCTTATGAAATTTGGTGGAAATTTATTTTGTTAAAAGTAGCATTCAGACAAAATTCGAACTCTTTAACTCTAAAAAGAAAGGAAAGCTAACTTCGGTCGGAGCCGAAGCTTATATACCTTTGCAGTTAAAACCGGATATATATCGCAAACATCGGATATAGTTAGCCGATGAGCCTTATGAGAATATGATAATATAACCCTATTTATTATAATAAAAAATCTAAAAAAGTCCCAAACTTCTATCTTCAAAAATACCAAAGTTGGTATTTTTACCAAAAAACATTTTCGATCGTTCAGTTATATGGCAGCTATAAGATATAGTCAGCCGATCGTTATAAAACTTGGTAGGTCGGATTAACTGACCAAAAATATAATCAGTACCAAGTTCCAACTTTCTATCTTCAAAAACACCAAAGTTGGGTCATTTCCGATCAATCAGATATATGGCAGCTATAGGATATAGTCGGCCGATCCCGGCCGTTCCGACTCATATACTGCGTGCAAAGGAAAGAAGGGTGTGTGCAAAGTTTCAAGACGATAGCTTTAAAACTGAGAGACTAGTTCGCGTAGAAACAGACAGACCGACGGACAGACGGACATGCTCATATCAACTCAGGAGGTGATCCTGATCAAGAATATATATACTTTATAGGGTCGGAGATGTCTCCTTCACTGCGTTGCACGCTTTTGACCAAAATTATAATACCCTCTGCAAGGGTATAAAAACGACCATGCAAACACATGTTCAAAACCAAAACATGGTAACACAGCTGCTCGTAGCAAAACAGTCTTAAGAATGTATGCAGACTCTATGAAAACAACAAAAACTACGATCACTCGACCAGGCCCTTCACAGACAGGAAGAAAATGCACAGCTGAGGTACATCCAGAATCTTTCGCCAACCACCCAAATCTTAGCGCCCCAATTGACACGACCACCCCGATAAGAAACTCTTCGGGATGCTGGGCTCGCAGTGACAAAGAACGAGCTGAAACATTCGCTTCCAGCCAATCCTGCCTCAAATTCATTCCTTCTTCCTTCTAGAGGACGTGTGCAAACTATTCAATGGGTTCATTAATCTTGGCTATTTCCCAAAAAAGTGGATGAAATCCATCATCATAAGAATACCAAAGCCTGGAAAAGACTACACAATTCCGAAATCGTACAGACCATCCTGTTTCTATCTTGTTTTTTTCTAAATTGCTTGAAATATGCTTGTTAACTCGCATAATACCACATCTGGAAGCTAGCAATATTATCCCGGCACACCAATTTGGCTTCCGAAGAAACCACGGAACCATCGAACAAGTGAACAGATTAACATCCGAAATACGATCAGCCTTCGAACAGCGAGAATACTGCAGCGCTACTTTCCACGACGTATCTCAAGCTTTCAACCGAGTTTAGCTTAAGGGACTCATGCACAAAATTAAAACGTATTTGCCAACATACACCCACAAGCTACTGGAATCATACCTCTACAATAGTGTATTCTCAGTAAGATGCAACACAGCTACTTAGGGCGAGTACACCATCGAAGCTGGAGTTCGACAAGGAAGCACACTCGGCCCGTGTCTATATGTTTTATATATTGTGGACATTTTATATATTGCGGACACAACTAACAACGTCAAAGTTCGCCGACGATACCGCTATCTTCAGTCGCTCCAGATGCCCAAAGCAAGCAGCAAACCAACTGGCTAACCATCTAATAGTAGTTAAAAGGTAGCTGTCAGATTGGCGCATTAAAATAAACAAACAAAAGTGTTAACATGTAACATTTACTCTTAATAGACAAACATAAGAAATAAGAGCAAGGTTAATTAAAGCAAAAAAAAAAACAGGCCAGTCCGTCAGCATGAAAAATTGAACATACCAAAGAACTTACCTTTAGCTGACCCAAATTATTACATACCCCAGCGGAATCACATGTTGTGTGAGTCATTTTTTCGAACTGTTGTCCGTTGTACAAATACAACAATTCTCCACCATATTCTCCCATTCTCAAAACTCTCTTCGATGGATTTTCTCGGGTAGATAACAGGCTAATTCCTAAACTCCTCAACAGCCTGCCTAAATTGCCAAGAAGAATTACTCGAGTCGATGAAATAGAGTAACATTTACTCTTAATAGACAAACATAAGAAATAAGAGCAAGGTTAATTAAAGCAAAAAAAAAAACAGGCCAGTCCGTCAGCATGAAAAATTGAACATACCAAAGAACTTACCTTTAGCTGACCCAAATTATTACATACCCCAGCGGAATCACATGTTGTGTGAGTCATTTTTTCGAACTGTTGTCCGTTGTACAAATACAACAATTCTCCACCATATTCTCCCATTCTCAAAACTCTCTTCGATGGATTTTCTCGGGTAGATAACAGGCTAATTCCTAAACTCCTTAACAGCCTGCCTAAATTGCCAAGAAGAATTACTCGAGTCGATGAATAGCATTTGAAAATGCACAATGCAATTAGCGTCGTTGGAAGAATCATAAAAAAAAGTAAAATAAGAATTTTAAGTCCGATTTAATTTGGAATTTTGAAAAACTCGTTCTAGGTAGTTAAACGCTACAAACAATTTTTTCGCATACTTGCTGGGATCGTTGGAGGTGGCTAATGCAATATTTTTTTTTAAACTTCAAAACTTTAACCTTCAAATCGTGTCAGTGTGCTAAAAAACTTCGCCAAAATGCACCGCGCCCAACGTTATACAGGTGAACAGAGCTACCCTTTTTTTCTTTTTGCGGCTGCCGACGTTCACTAATAACGGGCCAAAAAATCAAGGTGTATATAAACGGTTTCTCGAGTAGGAATACTTTTGCCCTCGGAATCGGTGCCATCTGGAATGGTCTGGGAACTGCTCTGTTAATCTTGCATCGTTGGCATATGTTTCGAACTCATTTATGCAGTACTTGCAGAAGCATTGACGTGGTTTACTACAGTCTAATAGGCGAGATGGTAGTAGTTCTCGTGGAATCTCTTCACTATTAGGTTGGTTATGCGACATCCTGGAGCTAGTATAATTGATCCAAAAATACTCTATTTTCAGCTATGTCAACTTAGTTCAGTCTGCCTTTAGTCCATTGTACTCCATCGTTTTCCAGGAATGCGTTCAATTGCTGCTGTGCTGTCCAATCGTTGTCCAGGTACCAATCTGCTTTCCTTAAGGAGCGCTGGAGTTAACATGCCCCTCTCTCCGGCCACATAAAAAAAACGCAGACCCGGCAACTGCAAGCCTAGTGCAACAACAACAACATCGCCAAAATGAAACTCTGACGAATACACACATCCTTGTGTAGCAGGATTGCTACTTAATGTACATATTAACTAACTGTAAGCTGTTGTTAGTGTAAGTCGGTGTCGTTGCTTGTTGTCGGTTCTGGCTTTCTCTCTCTCTTGTGCTCTCATCGCTCTCTTTGCTCTTTCAGCGAGTGATGAGGGTTGATGCGGATCGCGGGATGAGAGCGGAGTCAGTCGAACACCAGCAGCGATCTGAAGCGGATCTAGTCAAGACTAACAAAGGAATTATAAAAAGCAAAGTGTTGGTGTTCTACTTGGGACATTTCTTATATCCCTACAAAATCCGAATTGGCCCGAACCTCGTGCCAAACAAACAATTCAAAATAATTAAGTAAAA